TGCAAGGGAAGCCTAGGCCTGAATGCAACCTAATGTACATATTTTTGTACTGTGGGGGTACCCTGAGAAAACCCACACAATCAAGAGGAGAACATGCAAACTCCACACAGAAAAACCCCAGGTCTGTACCGGGGATCGAACCCAGGACCTTCTTGCTGCGTGGCGTCAATGCTAACCACTGATCCGTCGTGTTTCCAGTACTACTGRGCCACAGCAAAAGTAGCCAGCTAAAATGTGATGAATTGGAGATTTACRCAGTGAATTTTGCTGGCTGCTGGCTACTATTGAGCCCTGTGCACCTCCACCTGAATCTCTGGCAGGCCACATAAAATGCTGTGGCAGGCCACCTGCAAGCCTTGAGTTTGACATGTGATGTTGGGAAAGCAGCTCGGCTGCCTGATTATCCAAAATTCTTTAGATTAGGGGTGTCCAACCCTGGTCTTTGAGAGCCACTATCCTACATGGTTTACTTGTTTCTCTGCTCCAACCGACTGTTTTGAATGAAAACGGGTTCTGCAGAACCTGAAGAGGTAATTCAACCACTTAATTGGATGTCCTGGAGCAGAGAAACAAGCAAAACATGTAGGATGGTCATCCTGAACATCAAGAATCTAAGGAGCAAATACTCTGTGGATTTAATACTATCATACCCAGCAGACTGTGCACAGGCGTCCCCCAGGGCTGTGTTTTAAATCCCAATTATTTTTCTCTGTACAAATACAATATACTTTCTTACAATTCAAATCTTAATGATTAGTTCTCAGATGGCACAGAAGTGATTGGACTGATCATCATGGAAATATGTCTGCCTACAAAGGGTCAAAGCCAGACAGACTTAAAACAACCAGRTTCTAACAGCAATTGAACACTGAATGGCATTTGACTAATCGTCACGCAGTCACGTGGTGGTGGGAYGTTCATTTTCACGCACAACTTCCACAGTCCAATGAGGCACATGGAATAGAGGTCATGGGAAACCCCTCCCACTGCAGAACAYGTCCCAGCATGGATTTCTTTCTGCTGGAGACTCTTCTTCCATATCTGCAGTTGCTTTGACCACAAACCTGTCAYGAATACAGCGCCACACGTTTCAGCAGACAGATTCTTTCCATGCACAACATCTGTCTATTCCATGAGTTTTTAGYCATTTGACTATCTTTACAAATGTCTGCTTGTGGTTACAACAGTCAACTTCTAGAAGTGGAGTAGTTGAGGCATCAGATCACTTATCAGCATAATCACTCATGAACTTCTGGCCAATCACACAATACTTTTATATGCTACAGGTGCTGAAAAATTTGTCCTGGGATTAGTGTCAAGAAGGGGGGACCTGAGAACAAAATGTCATGATTTTCTTTTCATACAACTACATCAAAGAGACTATTTTACTGCTTCAGATGGATCATGCAAAGGCTTTAGAAAGAATACAAAATTTAATTTCAGCAGGCAAACCAGCTATTTACTTGCCACTGAATATAAATGGAGACAAGGTTTGSGTACACACATAACTCATAAAAAGGACAACATTCACAGCATTCCCTTAGAAGTCTGAGGAAAATCAACTCGGAAAAGCTGCTGTCCTTCTGTTGCTGCACTGCTGGGAGTGTCCTCACTCATGGCATCTCRATATTGTATGCAGCTCTGCTGCAGATGAGAAGGCACTGCAGAGAGTTGTAAAGGCTGCACAAAACATCATCAAGGAGCAGTTTTCTGCTCCAGCTACCAAACACACACACATCCCTCTGAAAGCAGAACAGAACCTGCACTCTACCACAAACATTATTCCTCAGCTGTTTGAATGTAACCTTCTGTTTCAAACCTGTCATCAACACACGCTAGGATTAATGACCCACAGCCCCCATTTTGTGGATTAAGATTACTTCTGCAATATTATTCATGCAAGTTTTGTAAAAACTATTTATTTTCAATTTTTAGAAAGTTTATTATAGCTACTGCATGAATCAGAGGAAACAACAGTTCTTTTTTTACAYGAGTTCTAGTTTCATGCAGTACTCTGAGTTTCATTATGTTGTTTCTATAGTTTTATTGAGTTCAGCATGAATCTGATTCATTTAACTGGCTCTTAATGCAGAAAGAACTGTGTGTAGCATGAAGAAGCATCTCCTGACCATGACCTCTGACYCTGAGGTTCATTTTCCTAACAGAACTGAACTATTTTCTTTAAAGTTACGTTTGATGTAAATAGTGTCTGTTTCTTTGGAAATTACTGTCCTTCAATTTTTAATATAAATTTCTTTCTTTTGTTTTTCAGACAAAGCTCCTCTTTAAGAGGTATCTGTGTTCTTATCAGAACCTTGAGAGTTCTTTAGTGACGTACACACAAAATATATATTTATTTTGTGGAGACGTGTCTTGTTTTTTTGTCTTTGTCTGGATCTGACCAGAAGAAAAAAGCCAAGTAACCGAAACATGTAATTTCAGAATGATTATAAGGGTGARATATTGATTACTGAGCTAGAGCCCCATATTAAACAAGGGCAAACATCAGTGTAGTAAAACAGTGTGTTCATTCATCTGTTAGCAAAATATCTTCATGAACCACTGGATAGATATAAATAAAATTCACAAGAAGTAATCATTGGCTGTACATCTACCACTGWTTAACTTTGGGAGTGAACCCCATTCAAGATGACTGCCACAGCTTATYGGTGTTTGCAAACCCAAAAATGGTAATAGTTCAGTCAATTTTACAGATAATAAGGTAACATTTGGTGTGGTAGTAGTTGAGAGTCATCCCTAATGTGTACTCTCAGCATCAAAACAGAAACTGTTAGTGTTTTTTTGCAACAAGAAGAATATATTTTGATAAATTCAGCAGGTTGATGAATACTTTCTGTTATTTTGTTTCACAATATGTTACAAAGTATTCAGTGAAATGCTAAAAAACACACACATATATATATA